GACCTGGACAATTGGCTCAGGATAATAGGAGTCAGTGGTTTTGGAAAAGGATTGTTTCTCTGAATTTCTAGAAGCAAGATGACCCAGACAGAAGGAAATACACATACCACATGTACACCTACACACATGCACATATACGACCACAACACGGCACAGAACCCCATGGACACAAGTGCATAGAAACAAAAGAACACAAGGTCACATACCCACGGTCAGACACACAGATTTGCCTTACTCAGGCAAATCCTGCCACCCAGGTCAGGGTTGTACCATCATCTGTATTTACATATGGAAGGCCCCATTTACAGATGGGGTTTCCACCCAGAGCTCCTCCCCCTCAAGTGGGTCTGTACTCCAGCTCCTTCTTGGAGATGTCTCTGACCCATCAGGAACCGATGCCTGTATGGAAGAGCAGCTCTGGAAGGGTTTTCATGAAACTCTGGGACAGAGTCTGGACACAGGACAGAGAATGAGCCACAGGCCAGAGAGCTATGATTAGAAGTTCATGGCCTCTCAGGACCCAGAAAGGACAGAGATGAGGAACTGGGCAAGGTCTGGAGGTTCACAGAAGCAGGGATCTCCACTGCCATGGGTTGTGCTTACTCTGCATAGGGCCTGGCACCCAGCTATTGGCACTAACCCCCAAAGCCTGCTAGAGCCCTGGCATGCATGTTAGGCATAGAGTGCCAGACACGGGGGTGGCAGGGGGTGCCAGGCCACACACAAACAAGGACCTTCATACACACAGAAAGGGAAGCGCACCCACACACTACTTATTTCATCCCCTGGGGAATCAGGGTAGCAGGTCAGGGACCACCCTGTCCTGACACTTCTTCCAGGTGTTCCCATTAGCTTGGTTCTTGGGGAGGGGTGAAGTAAAAGGAGACTTTGATGATCCTTTGACGTCTCACTCGTACCCACACACATACACTTGTGTGGCTTCCCCAGTTCTGGACTCTGGAAGAAAGAGGGGAGGTGAAACAGAAAACTCCCAAGAATCCCGGCCTGGCGATAATCTTCTCCCCTAGATGTGGCTATGAATTGCTCAGGCAAGAGTGCACATTTGGGTGTGTGCACCAGGAACCTAAGGCCATGGCACCGCGGGTGTGGCTGGGAGCAGACTCTGACTGGTTCCATGCAGTGTTCTGGAAGTCATAGTAGCCACAGCGTTATCAATGGAATACTTGGATGAAAGTCGGTGTGTGTGTGTGTGTGTGTGTGTGTGTGTAGGTAGGTAGGTAGGTAGGTAGGTAGGTAGGTAGGTAGGTAGGTAGGTAGGAATTCTGAGGAAGTGTGAGCACACCTGACCACAGAGGTTCAGAGACCTTGGCGTGCCGGTAGGCGCACAGGAGTGAATGAGATGCAGGGCACAGGGTTGGGCAGATTGGTTCTTTCCCTGGCGAAGTCGGCGACTGACGGCTCCGCCTCGTGCAACAACTTGGGACTTT